TAGTTTTCCCTAAACATTGCAAGGAGTCCAGGAGTTGTGAATGTCTGAAGAATGCACTCATAGATTTCACATGTAGATACAAATGGTGATGGTTTTGGAAACTCCTTTACCTTTCTAAAGACCAACAAGCAATAACATTAGGATAGTAATGTATTTATTTCATGTTGAGTGTGAAATAATAAATAATACACGAAAAGATATAGAAAGGTTCATTAATATTACAAAAAAAAGCTGCAAAGTATAATGTCTAGTATTCAAAGTGTAGACCCCTATAAACTGTGCACTCTTGGCCTTTTATGTTGACTATAATTTGCATCTTTTATTGTAAAGGTGTTGTATTTTGGTGATACTTCACCACATGTTTGCTGCTATTAACTGTTGACTGAGTAGGAGAGAGCATCGTGATCGTGGCTGCCCCTTATGACCGACTCAGTGTAGGCCAATGCTCACTGTACTCACTGTGACATTTGTCCATCTACTGCCAACCTAAGAAGCATTCAGAACTAAATAAGGCCAAGTCGTATATGGTACATACAAGTATTTCTCTTTTTTTGATTATTACAGTAGCTTAACCACTTGCCTACCGGGGCAAGTGGTTAAGCTACTTTACCCCCTTCTTTACCAGGCCAATTTTCAGCTTTCAGAACTGTCGCACTTTGACAATTGCGCAGTTATGCAAGATTGTACCCATATGAAATTTTTATCATTTTTTTTCTCACAAATAGAGCTTTTTTTTGGTGGTATTCACTCGTCACTGGGTGTTTTACTTTTTGCGCTATAAACAAAAAAAGTGCAAAAAATTTGAAAAAAAAAGTTTTTTTATTTCTATTCTAAAATTTAGCAAACAGGTAATTTTTCTCCTTCACTGATGTGCGTTGATGAGGCAGCACTGATAGGCGGCACTGATAGGCAGCACTAATGAGGTGGCACGTATAGGCGGCACTGATGATGGGTACTGATAGACAACACTGATAGTGGCACTGACTGGCAGCACTGCTGGACACTGACTGGCACAACCGCTGGGCACTGACTGGCGGCACTGTTAGACATTAAGGGTGGGCACAGGTGGGTGGCACTGGTGGGCACAGGTGGGTGGCACTGGTGGGCACAGTGGGTGGGCACAGGTGGGTGGCACTGCTGGGCACAGGTGTGTGGCACTGCTGGGTGGCACAGGTGGTTGCACTGCTGGGCACCGATCATCAGGGCACTGATCATCAGTGCCCTGATGATCATTGCTGATCCCTGCTCTAACAACTGCTGGTTCTCGGCAGTACTTTCCTCACGATCTGACAGCGCGAGGAAAGTGCAGCCGAGAACCGGCAATTGCATTTCCCTGTGATCAGCGTGTCATTGGATCACGTGGTAAAAGGCCGCTGTGATTGGCCTTTTACCACATGACGATATCAGCTGTGTCCGTAGGACACAACAATCACAGAGATTGCCGGGTGCGCACCCCCGGGGGCATGCAGGAGGGCGCGTTCTGGGAGGACGTCATATGACGCCCTCCCTGAACTGGCCAGCCGCAGTGTAGCCGTCATTCTGCTATCTGTGGCCAGCAACTGGTTAAACAAACAAAACATTTATGTTAGTTTCAAACAGAAGTATGGGTTTAAAAAAAAAAATTCTTCTCCCCTAGGTGGATGCTGCCCTCGATCGAATCCTGCATCTGTCCACCGCTGTTTCTAAGACTGAGAACTGAGCGATCAAACACCACTGACTGCTCGGTTCTCAGAGTTCAGTGAGCATAGAACTGGTGACTCTCAGCTCTCTGTTCTGCCCCTCCAGGTTTCACAGGTGCACTGGGCTGTGGAGGGGTGGGAGCAGCTGGCTTAGTCTACCAGTGGCTCAGTCCAGGCATCTGGGTGGATCTAGACTATAAAGTCGGGATCCTTCCAGAGCCTGGACTGGCTGAGCGACGTCCCGTTGTCAGCTAAAAATGGGTACCAGGAGTGTAGAAAGAACTACACTCCTGTGATCCATAGGAGAAGTACAGTATAAGCAAAAAAGCTTTGGCCATACTTCTCCTTTAAACACATTTTTACCATACTTTGTTATTAAATCCTCTAGGGCAGTGGTCACTAAATGGCGGACCGCGGTCCGTGAACAGCCCCAGCAGGACTGCAGCCCGGACCGCCAGCCCACAATGACAGATCCAACACTGAGCATGGCGACCGTCATGGCAACATGACATCGTGTGTGCCCCGCCCCTTTCAGCTCACTGTCTCTCCAGCTCCCGCACCCTGCCTGTACACAAGTGTCCAGCAAGGATCCTGGCACAGCTTCTGCCTGCCCTCAAGGTAGGGTGTAGACTTACAGGGGCACTCTGATGGGCACATTGAATATTAAAGGGCACTCTGATGGGCACAACATAAAATGTGCCTATCAGAGTTCCCCTTAACATAACCTGTGCCCATCAGAGTGCCCTTTAACGTAAAATGTGCCCATCAGCATACCCCTTATTTTATGTTAAGGGGCACTCTGATGGGCACAACATAGAATGTGCCCATCAGGGTGCCCCTTAACATACAATGTGCCCATCAGGGTGCCCCTTAACATAAAATGTGCCCATCAGGGTGCCCCTTAACATAAAATGTGCCCATCAGGGTGCCCCTTAACATACAATGTGCCCATCAGGGTGCCCCTTAACATAAAATGTGCCCATCAGGGTGCCCCTTAACATAAAATGTGCCTATCAGCATGCCCCTTATTTTATGTTAAGGGGCACTGTGACGGGCACATTTTATGTTAAGGGGGCACAAATGGGCACATACTGTGGAAAGGGGCACTCTGATGGGGAATATGATGTAAAGGGGCACTCTGATGGGGAAATATGATAGAAAGGGGTACTTTGAGTGTAAGGGGGCACTTTGACGGGAATACCTGATGTAAGGTGGCAATGTGATGGGGATACCTGATATAAAGGGGCACTCTGATGGGCACACCTGATGTAATGGGATTACATGATGTAAAGTTGCACTCTGATGGGGACACCCTATTCGGACCTCGGCCAGAAGAAAATTTTAGTGATTGGACCTCCTTGAATTTTAATTAAATACCCCTGCTCTAGGGCGTTTATTTGTGCCACTGTTTAAAGCCAGTTGACTGAAAAATAAACAGTAATTGTTGCTGTATAAGCACAAAATTACACGCTTTACTCCATTTAATTCAATCCAGAGATCAGAGACAGCTGAGTGACAAAGAAGACATTCTAAATCAAACAATATAGGGTTCTTGTGCAGGGATACGATTTCTCAACTAACATCCAAAGTTGTAATTAATACAAGCACCCCAAAAGTATAAAGGCTTGTACAGGTACAATCACGTACCTTTACGTTGGCAATGTCTTCTGGGTTCAGGGAGTGCACGCAGGACCCTCCCCCAGCTATCTCCCACTGTGATTGGACACAGCAAGATTTCATCAACAGATTTTAACCAATGTTTAATGTCTGAGGCCTGCTAATTGGCTGTGTCCAATCACAGCCCAGAGCCCTGCTTTGACAAACACACAGGACTCTGTACAGAGGGAAGAACCTGTTTGTTCTCTCTGCAAAGCAGAGAGAAGGAATAAACAGATATTTACTAAAAAGCAGCACCTATTACACACATTAACACTTGTTAGGCACTCACTTAACCCCTTGATTACTCCGAGATGTTAACCCCTTTCCAGCCAGTCATTAGTACAGTGACAGTGTATAGTATTATCACTGATCACTGTATTAGTGTCACTGGTGATGTCAGTGTACCTACCTCCCAGCCAGCAGCAGTTATTGTCAGATTGCCCACTGCACTATCACAGTCCCACTATAAGTTGCTGATCACCGCCACTACTAGTATTAAAAAAATAAATAAAAATTCCAGTATACTGTATATACCATAGTTTGTAGACACTATAACTTTCACACAAACTAATCAATATACACTTATTTGGATTTTCTTTTTTTTTACCAAAGACATGTAACAGAATACATTTTGGCCTAAATTTATGAAGAAATTTAATTTTTAACTTTTTTTTGGATATGTTTTATAGCAGAAAGTAAAAATATAGTTTTTTTTTCAAAAATGTTTGATCTTTTTTCATTTATATAATAAAAGATAATAAACCCAGCAGTGACCAAAAAAAACCAAAAGAAAGCTCTATTTGTGTGAAAACATTTTTTTTATAAATTTTATTTGGATACAACGTTGCATGGTCGCGCAATTACTAGTTTAAGTAGCTTATTGCTAAATAGGAAAAAAAGGCCTGTTAATGAAGGGGGTAAAACCTTCTGCTGGTCAAGTGGTTAAAGACAAAAATAAGAGCAATAAAAAGGACACAAATGGGCTGATTGCCTTAAGAGCTAGCAATCAAAATAAAGTGCAATTTTCTAAACAACTTTAATCTCTCCTTTTACAGTACAGTTTGTCAGCTGTACAACAAATTCCAATTCACTGACTCTATGGCTGCTCTGTGCTGCTCCCAAAAGCCCTCTCACTGGGACAACTAAGCCTGCTGGCCATAGTTCAAAGTCCTGGAAATAATTCCTTTATTCTCCCAAGCAAATCTGCACAAAAACTCTCTTGTGCTGTGAATCTCAAATCTGCAAGATTTGTCTAGAACAGCGGTCACTAAATGGTGGACCATAGTCTGGGAACGGCCCCAGCAACGCTGCCACCTGGACTGCCAGCCCAAAATGATCTGCCGCTGAGCAGGGCGGTTGTCATGGCAAATATGACATCATGTGTGTGCCCCGCCCCTTTCAGCTCACTGTCTCTCTGGCTCCCGCTCCCTGCCTGTACACAAGCAAGGATCCCGGCACAGCTCCTGTCTGCCCTCAAGGTAGGGTGTAGTCTTATAGGGGCACTCTGATGGGCACATTGAATGCCCCTTAAAATAAAATGTATCCATCAGAGTACCCCTTAACATAAAATGTGCCCATCAGAGTGCCCCTTGTTTAATGTTAAGGGGCACTCTGATGCACTCATTTTATGTTAAGGAGGCACATATGGGCACATACTGTTGAAAGGGGCACTCTGATGGGTGCATGTAATAGAAAGGGGCACTCTGATGGGGAATATGATGGAAAGAGGCACTCTTATGGGGAATATGATGGAAAGGGGCACTCTGATGGGGAATATGATGGAAAGGGGCACTCTGATGGGGAATATGATGGAAAGGGGCACTCTGATGGGGAATATGATGGAAAGGGGCACTCTGATGGGGAATATGATAAAAAGGTATACTTTGACTGTAAGGGGGCACTTTGACGGGAATACCTGATGTAAGGTGGCAATGTGATGGTATACCTGATGTAAAGGAGCACTCTGATGGGGACAACTGATGTAAAGAAGCACTCTGATGGGCACATCTGATGTGATGGGATTACATGATGTAAAGTTGCACTCTGATAGCGACACCTAATGTAAGGGGGCACACTGATGGGCACACCCTATTCGGACCTCGGCCAGAAGAAAAGTTTAGTGACCGGACCTCCTTGAATTTTAATTCAATACCCCTTGTCTAGAACCTATGGTACTGTCAAACCCAAACCTAATCCTTTTTCTCTAATTGATACAGATTACACTACCTACATTGCTTTGCAGCTGAATTCCTACAGAATGTTTTATGATTCCTTTCACTGGCATAAAATATTGTAAGTTGATGTTCTTGCTATAATGTTAATAGGCCAAAGTGCTATCTTTCTTTTAATGGATTTGAGTAGGTGTGGCCTTCAGTAGACATAAAGTGGTCCACTGAAGATCTATTCCTCTCAATTTGGCCCATTGTTTCATTTGAGTTTGACATTTCTGTACTAGAAAAATATAGCACCTACAGTATGTGTCTACATTCGTATGGCAACCATGAAGGCCACCTTCTCATGCTGTACATTACAAAAATTGGCACCCTGACCTGGACGTATAATTGTAAAGACATTTCTATTTGTAATCCACAGAAATCCACAGGTCTGTTCTAGTTCCCCTGCGCCCCAGACATTCCCTACACAGGTGCAGACCAACCTTTAGCTTGCTTATACCACCTCACATAGCACACAGTCCAAAGGACTGAGACCACACACTAAAGCATCCCATAGTAAACTATTTTTACTCTCCACAGTCCAGCATGGCTCTCTAGAGCTCCTTCCTCTAACCTGTTTCACTTAGCTTAGCCTAGTCATAAAGTCCTAGCTCTATACATGCAAAAAATGTGTTAGAGGAAGGAGCTCTGGGGAGCTATGCTAGACTACTAGGAAGGAATAAACGTTACTAAGATATGTCTGCGTGTACCTGTATCTTTTGGACTATGCTCTATTATCTTATTGTAAAACATCTATATGTCATTTTTAACCTCAAATTATCAATTAACCAACTCCCATTGTTTTCTAATATTATTCCCAATATGTCATGATAACATGTTAAAGCAGTAATAAACCCAAAAGAAAAAAAAAAATTTGCATTGTAGTTTACCAGTTCTTAGATGTGGTGACTGGGTGTTATTTAAACTCTTTCTTTCCTTAATTTTCACCTGGTGATCCAGTCAGAAAGTATGTTATTTTTCAACAGAACAAGTTGTCCTGCAAATGTAGCAGTTAGGAGATTGAGACAAACCATTTACCACTGACAGGGGTGTTTACATGACCAGATTTTATTTATTTATGTAAAGCCTTTATCCAAAAATAACTATTGCTGTTACTGCATGTACATTGTGAGCTTGGCTTCAGTTTGTTAGTGAATCTAAATCTTTTAGTCCATCTAACATACCCTCTCCCAAGATTAACAATGCTGTTGTCCAAATGTGTCTCTGTTGTTCAGCCATCTAAATTGTAAGCACCCTAATACAGGAGGTGTGTTACCAGTTGGATCACCATTTGAAGACAAAGGGAAGAAAGCCTAAAAAGAGAAAACTAATACAGCCACCACTCCTAATAATTTGATTTTTGGTTGTGGGTTTAATACCCCTTTGAATCATATAACAACTGACATCCAGTCTCCTTTATCCTGGTTAAGTTTAACTTTTAACATGGGTTCTTCTTTCCAGTCTAACAAACCTAACAAAGTACCATCCAGTAATTTTGGTTTTAATCGCCTCCGTTGGAACTTTTCATTCCCTTCAACATTTGGTTTTCTTACATGTTCTGATACTATACAACTCACCCTCATCATTTACAATTTAAGAACTGCCTTATTCAGTGACTCTGGATAGAAAAATGTGACAATCTTAATTTAAGCTTCTATAAGTAAAGGTGTTACTTTTACATCCATAGCTAGATATTGATCTTTGTGATACACTAATGAGTCCAAAAATGCTATTTTCATCACACTAGAATAGATTCTACTATTCAGAGTGATGGGGGGGGGTAAATGCTTTGGGGAGGGTAATTTCCTTTTCCCTAGGCAGGCATCACTAAATGGGGGACCGCAGTCTGTGTCCAGACCGAGTCAATATTTTTTTCCTGTCCACCGCAGTACCGTCATTTAGAACCCTTATGCCCAGAGCTGTCACTGCCGTCACTGTCATTCACATTCTCACAGAGCCGACAGTGGGACAGCTCTGGATGGAGGGCTGCCCCGAGTTAACAAGAAGGTGATTGATTGCTAGAATGCAGGGCGGTTCTAGCAGCCAATCACCACCTTGCAGCTCCCGCCCTCTGGCCAAACCTGCTGTGGTGTTATTCTCCCTGTCTGTGTAAGCTAGGATGGGAAGGGTGAGAGGGGTGATGTGAAGGGGCCTGAGGACATTAATGAGGGGGACAGTAATGACAGTAATGTAAGGAGCTCAGGAAAGTTAAGGGGGGGACTCAGGACAGTAATGGGGGATGGAGGACAGCAATGGGGGGCTTAGGACAGTTAAGGGGGGAGCTCACGATAGTTAAGTGGGGTTCAGGACAATAATGGGGAGAGTATGACAGTAATGGGGGAGCTGAGGACAGTAATGGGGGGGCTCATGACAGTAATGGAGGGACTTAGGACAGTTAATGGAGGGGGCTCCAGACAGAAATGGGGGACAGAGGACAATAATGGAGGAGCTCAAGATAGTGATGGGTGGGCCTGAAGACAGTAATGGGGGGCCTCAGGACAGTAATGCAAGGGTGCAGGACAGTTAAGAAGGGAGCTCAGGACAGTAATGGTAGGGGACTGAAAATAGTAATGGAGGAGCTCAGGACAGTAATGGGGGGACTGAAGACAGTAATGGGGAGGGGTTCTGGACAGTAAAGGGGGGAGCTTGGGATAGTAATTGAGGGGCTCAAGACAGTAATGAGGTGCTTGGGACAGTAATGGGGGGCTCAGGGCACTAATGGGGGCTCAGGAAAGTAATGGCAGGGATTAGGACAGTAATGAGGGGCTAAGGACATTACTGGGGGGCTTAGGATAGTATCAGGGTCACTGAGTACAGTAATGAGGGTCTCAGGACAGTAATGACAGGGCTTAAGACAGTAATGAGGGGCTGAGGAGGGGCTCAGAACAGTAATAGGGGGAGGTTCAGGATAGTAATGGAGGGGCTTAGGATAGTAATGGGGGGGCTGAGGAAAGTAATAGGGGAGCTCAGGACAGTAATGGCAGGGCTTAGGACAGTAATTGGGGGCTTACAAAAGTATCAGGGAAAATGAGTACAATAATGTGGGGGGTTCAGGACAGTAATGACAGGGCTTATGACAGCGATGGGGGGCTCAGGAAATTGAAGGGGTCACTGACAGCAATGGGAGGGCTCAGAACAGTATTGGAGGGAGGCTCAGTACAGTAATGGGGAGCTGATGACATTAATGGGGTCACTGATGACATTAATGGGGTCACTGAGGACTGTAATGGGGGGAGCTGAGGAAGAGTAATGTGAGGGGGGCTCAGGACAGTAATGGGGGGCTTAGGACAATAATGTAAGGGGGGGCACTGAGGACAGTAATGTGAGGGGGACTGAAGACAGTAATATGATGTGAAGGGGAGTTACTTTGATGTGAAGGGGGGACTGAGGATGCTGATGTCAGAATAGGATTGTGATATGAGGCTTGAGTCAGATCTGTGCAAGTGTGTTTGCAGTCACATTTCACAGGTAAGGCAGCCCATTCATTTTAATGGGCTGCCCTAACCATGAGAAAAGCAGGGAATAAAGTCCTAACCTTTTTTAATCGCAGCGCATCAAACTGCATGGTGCACCATGTAGTTTGGTGTGCGCAAAAATGTGCTGTAGGTGCCCATGTGTGGGGGTGCCATTAAGGATAAATGTCACCCCCAAGCATCTGCTAAAGTGCAGCACATTTCTCTGTGGGTCAGGAACGCTTGAGATTTTGCACATGTTCCCCAGTCAGACAGAGATGTGGACCTAGCCGAAGAAGAGAGGGGGGCTGTGATGTGAAGGATCTGAAGGATCAGACCTCTGCTGGAAGGAAATTTTACTGACTGGACCTTGGTGAATTTTAATTCAATACCCCTGCCCTGGGGTCAAACACTTTACCAAATCACTTGATATACAATGGGGTATTATTATAAAAGTATGCTTTCATGTAATCCTTCAACAAATGTAACTTCAATATCATTTGTTATCTGTATTTGGCAGGTTAAATATTCATGACAAAGCAATTATTTTAGGGTTTGTGAAACGTAACCCTTTTTTGTAGCAAATCCACTTTCCTACTTGTTTTCCACTTTCTCAACACTACTCAATGATGCTCTAATATGGGTGTGTATATTGATGGTTAATTTGAGATAGCTCGAACCCTCCCTGATATTCCCCCCTTTTGCTATCCTTGCTGTGATTAGAACACTAGGTTTTAGATCTATACAATAGTATGTTTGAAGCCAGTCACAGGATAATCCATTAAGTAGGTTCCCTTCATGTCCATTGCTCTGTGGAATTTGGGAGGAGGCTAAAGCTGGCCATACTCTGGTAGATATTCTTAAGAATGTTCCACAAAAAATCTCATTAGCAAACTAATGAATGGCCTTTAAAGTCGTTCAAAATCTCTTTTGCTTTTTTACATTTGTAAAAGTAAACCACATACATTGTTGGAAGTGCATTCCTTCAAGAAAGACTTTCCATCCTGTTCCTTTCCATATTTTCGCCAAATATGATTATTGATTTGACCCCACTAATGATTAGAATATTGAACAAATGTTCCAAAAACAAAAACATTCTAACAAAATGATACTAGTTTCTAGCAAGCTTACAGTATTGTAATGCTAGCATTACAATACACCCAAGGAGAAGTCAGCAGCCCAAAAAAGTAGTATTTTTTGGATCTCTTTGTTCATTCATATGCAAATCAAAGGAATGAACATAGATCTGCAGATGATGTAGGTTAAAGCAACCTGACGTAAAGAAAAGTGTTTGTTTTTTTTTAAATTATAACATTTTCCTCTGTTTAACCCCTTATTAACTCTTAGTTTTCGCTTATCAGCCCTAAATAACTCCTTCGTCTTCTTCTCTTTTCTACTATTATTTTCCTGCTCATCTTTTCGTTTGT